AAAAAAAAAATTTTAAAAAATTTTTTTTTTTTTTTTTTTTTTTTTTTTTTTTTGGCCTGGATGGGCAAGTGACCCCGGGCCACTCTGGTAGCCTATATATTTATTTGACGATATATATATATATATATATAGGCTACCAGATGTATGGCCCCTGATGTATGGAGGAGGGCTTAGGCCCAGATGTACGGATCCATAACTACCTTGGGCAATCAAGGATGACACACACAGATCGAGAAATGGATTTTTGAACCTTTTTTTTGTTTTAATAATAAAAAAGGATCATTTCGGAGGCAGGACCTAAGCAGGCCCAAATTGAGGGCGAAAAACTATCCTCTTGCCCCAAAAGAATGTCCGAGCGTAATCACTGTATTTGGACGGGAATAGGGTTTGTATACGTTCACGATGACGTTGCACTGTTACAGAAATGTTATGTTCCCGAGAAGATGGTAGCGTGCAATTCCACTGGAGGGCCCTGATCCTCAGAAAGTCTACTTTTCCTTCTTCTTCTTCTTCTTCTTCTTCTTTTTTTTTTCTTTTTTTCTTTTTGGCAAAGTCATATCAGTTGTCAGGGTTGAGCTGGAGGATACAGAAGTGAGGGTACGGACACATTGGTGCTATGCCTGTGATAGATTAGCATGGACCTGTTCGTTTTTCCGTCCATGTTCATGCTTTTTCCATGCACAGGGATAGAACTTGACAGTGTGGGCCCTTCCCCTATTTTCCAAGAGAAAAAAAAAAAACAGAGAAACAAATTAGCGCAATGCTTCGAGTAAGCACAGAGCAGCCGACAGCGAATCACCCACACTTGTCCATCCAACCAACCCCGTTTGGAACATTCGGCACGACCATTATTATTGCTGTATCTGGTCCACAAATCAGCCTAAATACAGTTATAATGATCATGCATATAATTACCATGCCATTTTTTATGTCCGGCAAAGGTGTTGGTTTCGTTCTTCGTCCTTCTTCTTTTTTTGTGAATTTCCTTCCCCCCCACCCCCAACACCCTCTCCCGTGGGGCCTCCTCCCACTAGCAGCGTTGAGTTTCCTCGACGTCCGAATCTGGACGTGTTTGTTGAGATGTGCAGTTGAGGAAACTCAACACCATTTTTTGCACATCTCCTTAAACACGTCCAGATTCGGAGGTCGAGGAAACTCAACGCTGCTAGTGGGACGAGGCCCCTGCATCAGCNCTCCCCCCCAACCTGACCTGCAAAATGCTGAAATGAAGTTTTGATGCACCTTGCTGTGTATGTGTTTGTCTGTCTGGTCTGCAGACCTGCTCGAGAAGCGATGGGTGAAAGTAGACGAGAAGGCGACTCTGGCAACCGTACTCTCGAAAACCGGTCATGTCATCCCAGGCGTTCCTGGTACCAAACTTGTCCCTGATCCCTGCTCTCCGGTCCCACTTCCTCCTCCCCCACTCCCCCCGCTTCGCAATAAACTACCGGGGTTTCCCCTCCCCCTCTGCTCTCCCCTCCTCCTTGTCCCCCTTCCATCCCAGCGTGTTGTGTTTGCTTTTTTTTTTTTTTTTTTTTTTTTTTTTTCAGTGGTTTGGAAAATAATCCACTCATGTTCGTGATTGCACCAATGTGACAGTGCCTGCGTACACTGGTGCAAATCGAAAAATACTAAATAGCAGTCAAGGGAGAGTTAAACGTTAAGCTTCAAGTTTGCTGTTTTGGATTGGCGCCACTGTGTCGCCTTCGCTTTATGTTCAAAAGATAAAAGGAAGAGAAGGTTTTTCAACTTTTTCTGCTGTTAGTTTTTTTTTTCCCCTTCTTAGCACATTTTTCGGCCTTTTGGCTAAGGCCTGAACCCCACAGGAATGCGGCAAGGAAAGGTTTTGCGACGGAATTGTTGCTGAGACCCCACATGCCCCGGAAGTGGTCGTGGACAGGTGCTGTGTTTCCCGTGGAAGTGTTCCGTGGGGCCCCACACGCTGCGCTTTGTGGCCTGGAGAAGGATAGAATTCCGTATCCACATGGTCAGCGGCGTGGAAAAGATCCGCGGGAGGGATTTCCGCCGCCATATTGTGCTGACTCTCGAACGTTGAGGGGGGGGGCATCCGGAAGGTTTTTAAGGTCTCGACCACAGGCCGGACGAGAAGATGTCCGCCCAACCAGTTGTTCGGGTCGTGGAGCAGCAGTGTGTTTCATGGAGGCTGTCGCGCTGTGAGACGTGGCCCCGCATCAGCAGGTAACGAAGGGGCGGGCAAAGGCCCACCCTTTCGAATTCGCTCACAAAGTTCACACAGCAGGGCATCCGTTCAGTCGACGAGCTATGGATGTCAGCTGACGAGAAGCAAATTCCATGAAGCGAAGACTCCGGTTTCCCATGGGGGAGGGGGAGGGGGGGGGGGGGGGGGGTCGGCGGGGGCAAATACACCGCG